GAGACCTAGCACAGCCCCCATAGTATGACCCAACATCAGTCTTTCAGGTTAAACAATCTAATTTTCAAAGGTGGGGGCGGGGAACCAAAGCATTTCTGATTGGTTCATCAACTGTTCTCCCAAGACGTAAAAGACAGTCTGGATGAGAGGAGAACTAGGAGCTCAGGGAACTGTCACTGCCTTTGCAGTTTGGTCAACACAAAACTGTTCATTTGTGCCTTGTAGGCATTTTTGTCTCTCACAGTCTCAAGATGACACTTGGATAGTAAGAGAAATATGAGCAGGTGTACCTATTAAATATGTAAAATATACATCTTCTATTCCATTCACTCAGAAGACGTATTTCTAAAAGGATGTGGAAAGTCACCTAATATAAAGACAGACAGGTTAAAAAAAAAATCTATGCAGTTTTTTAGCACACAAGAATGCAAGTGGGCTTAGCACAACAACCTTCCACAGAAAATAAATGCAAGCCAATTAAATATTCAGGGTTTTTTCTTTAAGCTAATTCTTCAGGTTTTGCTAATTAGCAACTAATAGTCTGTCATCTGAGCTGGGGAACATAGGAAGAATACCAGTGGTATGTTTTCAATCAAAGCATTTGCATGGAAGAATGAATCATATTTTCCATGAAGAATTACTGCTTAGGAGCTGTTGGGGGCAGAAGAAAAGCAGCCTTCACACAACTATAAAACTGGAAAGGAGACCTGAAATTTTTTTAAAAAAAGGAGGCATCTTTCTGCCCCCTTTACCAAAAACAGCAGAGGTCCTATAATTTGACATGACTAGTGAATCCGAGAAACTTTGCACGAAGATCCCTGCAGGAATAGTTTTAAAACTAGACTCTTCAGAGTAAGACAGAAGACAATGCAACACATGTTTTCTGTAAAAGGGAAGTGAATAAAAGTTAAGTGTCGGCCAGGGTACAGGAATGCTTTAACTATTATGTCACCTGCCTTTGAAAGTTTATAAAAGATAAATGTATGGCAGTCAATGAAAGCAGGAAGTGATGGTGGTTTGAAATACCTGGCTACAGTCAGAGTATGGGGCAGAAGAAAATTGCTGAGGAATCTTTGGGCAGAGGATGGGGTTTTTTACCCTGACTCTGGCACAAGAAGATCAGGTCCTCCAATCTAGCCCCTCCTGTGCTCCCCCAAATTACAAAGCGCTAGTGATCCTGTAGCCGAGAGCCTGTCAGCACCACGCCATGTCTGAGCCATGCCTCTTACACATCTACTTTCACACCTTGATATACAGCCACATCCACTGTGACCCTTCATGAGAGAATACACCCTATCCCCCCAGGAAGATTTTATTCTAAACATATGCTGTGAATGTTTGAAGTGTCTGCTGTCCCTGAGTTTTCTTTCTTTTTTTTTTTTTTTTGAAGCCACAAAACCTATAATACTTTAGATTTTTGCCTAACTACAATTTCTGAAGATGCAACATTACATACCAAAACATAATAAAATCTTGTGCAATAAAAATTTTACAGATGTCCTTCTGAAGGGGGAAAAAAATGGTTTTCCCTTTTCCGGTCTTACAGGAAGCCTGCCCACACTTTAGAAATACAAAGTTAATATATATAGAAGCACAAATTAGGCATTTTGGAAAGTCTACATTTTCCAACCACAAAGAAATGAAGAAATGTGAGTGCTCACATGGCCAGCCCACTGGATTAGAGGAGTCAAGTCTTTTGACCGGCTCAGCAGAGCTAGCAAATAACTCAAGGGCAAGGGGAATGGCCTCAAAAGATGTTTCTGAACTTGGGCTACTGAAGGTCTGCAGTGCGCTTGTGCTGTTCACACAGCCCAGGACTGAGACAAGCTATCCCCACAAGATAAACAAATGTGACCAAAACTGTATGTCTCATTCTAAAAAGAGGGTATTTCTTCATACACTAAGAAATTCATCGAAAATTTATCACCTTCAATTCACATCAATCATTAGCTTTGCCTGGATAATTAAATCCATGTGAGCAGATAGATTTTATTATAAAGTATCTTTAAAAATACTTGTGACACTGGCAGGAGATTAAATAATCCAACAGAGCTCTAAAGAAAAAGTAAAGTCATAAGCCTTATGATGCAGAGGCTTAGTTTAGGCTATCTTTAAATTATTTAATATGAATAAATAATACTGTACCTTTTATGTTTCTACATGTATTAAAGTTTCCATTTATTACATAAAACACTTTCTGCTAAGAATTTAAAATGTTAACACTTCTCAAACTCATTCAAAATCTTTACAATTTCCTCACTTAAAAAACAGAAAAAATTATAGTCGATCTACTGAGGTTGACTGAGAAAGGATTCTGTTCAGAAGTTCACAGTGCACAGCTCTGACCATGCCAAGGCTCCAGGTTTGCAGTCTGCTCAATTCCTAATCTGTGTTATAGAAGAAATTGGTCACAGGCAAGCAGGTGACCAAGTCTGGCAGAAAAACAAACAAACAAAAAACACAGTCTACACTGAACCAAATACAAGTGCAATTCTTGCAAACATGACTTAGAGAGTCAACTTATCACATGATCATGATGATGACGATGGTATAGAAGAGAAGGAACAAAAAGAGAAGGAGGAGGAAGAGAAAGAAGAGAACTACCTTAATACTTTTGAGGCACTTACCATGTGACAGAGATTTTAGTAAATACTTTATTTGCATTGTCTCGGTTTCCACAAGAACACCATAGGGCAGGCAGTGATATTATCACTCCATCCCACAGTGAGGGAAGGATTCCCAGAGGGATCAGCACACTTGTAAAGGTCACATGGCTAGCAAGTGCAAAGCTAGAACTTGAGCCCAAATTCCCTGAGCATTGAGCCAATCTGCGCAGTCTTTAGAACTTCCCATCCGTATTATCTACATAACAATGTAATTTATGACCAATTTAGGGAGTATATTGGGATGGTAGGTCAAAATCACATTTGCTATTTGGTTACAGACAATTTATACCATTTATAAGTTATCACATAATTTTAACACTGATTTGAACAATATAGCGGGAAAATCTAATGATTCACCCACTGTGAATGCTGTAACCTCAAAACAGAGTGATGATGAGTGAATTCAGATCCCCCTAAGAGCTCTCCCATGCCCACCATTAGTTAATAGGACATTGAAGGTCCGGGAGATGGGTCCCACAGGCACCGCTGAGGGAGGACGAGGTTCCCAGGTGTACAGAGCTCCCAGCCCCTCAAAGGATGGGAAGATGCAATGGGGAAAACCGTTAAAAGAAACGAATCAAGAACAAGCTGCAAGTTAAATGGCACAGAGAGAAAGTTAACGGTTATCTGCCCACGACTGTCGGCCAAGAAAGAAGTACTCATCAGTTGTCCTAATTAAATACCTCACTAATTAGTGCGCATCTTAAAAAGACAACAAAACATAAATATGAGATGGGGAAAGTCTGTGTTCACACATAAGAACAAAAACAATGCAGAGAGCTTTGGCTAAGAGTCCAGCCTGAATTTTTCCTAAAAAGTAAGTCTACTACCAGGGTCTATAAATACAGGTCTATAAAAGCATGTAGGAGTCCCTCACATTTTCTGCATGAATGATGTTTAAAAGAAACTCGCAAATAAAAATACAATGCAGGAAATTTAGGAATGTGCTCAGAAAAAAAAAAGCCTACCAGGACTATTTTAAACCTTCATTTCTAAAAGGAAAGATGAAAAAAATAAAACTAAGTAAACCCTGAATGAAGGAAGGAACAAGCCCAATAGCCTTCCTCCTTATTTCTGTATCTACGGAAATAAGACTGACAAGCACTTTTGAAGCAGAGAAGTGGTAACCTTTCTGAAAGGCTTAGAAGAATCCAGAAAACTCTCCTCCATGCTTCTGGCCACTTTTTAAAAAATGCTCTCTCCACTTAAAAAAATAATGTAGCTTCCATCTTTTCCAACAATATAATCTGGTCGGGTTGTGGGGGTAGCGGTTGCTGAGACTTAAGGTTGTGTGAGACCCTTTGATCTGAGGAGTGAGCATTCCCCTTTGCTGCAAGCCAACTAATGAAGGGATGAAATTAGCTTTTATCCTGGGCACTTTCTTGAGCAAAAAAACATGCACTAATCAGCTGTCCTCACTAATCAGTCATCTGGCTAATGACCTTTTGCCTTAAAACACTAAAATTTCTGAATGATGTGGAAAAGGGGAAACACAAACCAGTCCCCCTCACTGGAGCTCAATGGATCATCTGGAACTGGAGCCGGGAAGGTTAAATGGCAAGTCTGAATCCTGGCAAGGTGATAAATCTGTAATCAAGAGCTGCAAGCTTTGGCACCTCAATATGAACTTCATTACTCCACAACCAAATTGTACTTTTTAACTAGAAACAGGCCAGAAATAAACTCAATCCTTCTATATTTTTCTTTATATTCTGCCTTTGGAGAAAACCATCCCATACTTGAGTTCAGAGTCCTAGTTAATTTCTTAAATGTGATTAGTGCTCAGAAAGGAGCTTCCGATGTGCCTGGCATGCTAGTTAGAGAGAAAAATACAGCACAAAGAAAAATTTTCTGTATTAAGCAATTTAGTATGGATTTGTTAAAAAGAGATTTGTTTTTACAAACTATCAAAACTGGGAATAGCCAAAATCATTAAATTTAAAAAATCATTAAAAATGGGAATCACGGCTATTGAGTGACTTCTCTTAATGTGGCTGGCTTTAATAACTTCACAACAAGAAACTTTTCTCCTGCAGCATCTGCTTGGATGGAGTGACCCTAGTTCTACTTCTCAACAAAGGTCTTGTGTGGATTAGTCACCAATGGCCCACCTTCCTGAAGGCCGCCCCAGTGAAGACCGATGTTGCTTAGAGACGTAAGAAAACATCTCTCTCTAAAAAGAAGAATGGGTAGGAAGGAAAGTGGAAAGAAAATTGCACATTTTAATAAATTATACAAGCCAAAACTTCATAAAGCACACACACCACATGTCAACACACACATACAACCCTCCCCGTGGCTCCTAAACAAGTGCCAATCGGCATGGGCACTTACGGTAGTGGGGCTCCATGTAACCATTCCTGGGGTCCATGGCAAACACCGTCCCCCGGTATGGCACAGAGGGCTCCGCCAGGTGTGGCAGCGACCCATGGATCTCCTTCTTGATCAATGAGGCCCTCTCGTCACTTGATGTTGAAGGTTCCTCACTGACTTTGCTGAGCCCCTGCACGTTCTGTGGCTGCATAGTGATTGCGTTTCTTCTCTCTCTGTGATAAGTCTGTCCAGGACTTTCATCCTCTAAAGAAAGAAGAAAAATGAAAGACTCTGTAAGCTACTTTAAGGAGCAATTTAAAACCGTGATCAATTAGGTCTCATTCTCTATCCCTCTCCCAGGAAAGAAGTCTTTTTCTCGTTCATGACAACTTTGAAAGCTACAGGGCTGGAATGGGATATTTGTAAGACAAAATTGTTTGTGAATGAGGGTCCAAAGCACACAAATACACAGGGAAGGATGAGGGGAGCAGGAAATGAGCCTATTAAACTAAGATGTAGGGGTAAGCAAATTAGCATCACCAGCTTCTAGCTGGATCTGCCCATGAGGTTTCTGCTCATGGGCTGGCCAACACCTTGCAGGTCCCATGTGGAACCAAAACCTTTTTCAATCTAAGATTATGCATGTCCAGCTTCCCTTTGCCTACCTGGAGACACAGGGCCTCCAGGATGACACCAAGTCCATCCAGCTACCGACTGAGGCTCTGGTTGCTCCAGGGAGGTATAGGGCCTTTGCTCCTAGAGGATGACCTATGAGTAAGCTATCCAAAAGTTTATGTGGCTTTGTTATTTTAAGTCAGATTTGTAACCCAGCAAGAGATTTGACAGAACCAAAAATGGAACAGAAAACTCAGTGGTGACAAGGGATAAACATGCCAATCATGAAAACCTGCAGAGCCTCTTGTGAGATACTTCCAGCTTCTGTCCATGCAACAGAGCTGAGACCTAAGAAAAAACTGGAGTGAGACTGAAAGTCCAGCTGTGAGATGGCTCTGAGGGTGAGGAAGGAAAGTGTGGGGGAGGTTGATATGTGTCCATGCTCTTGTGGGTCCATACATTTCTTCAAACATGTAAGAAACAGCTTGACAAACTTCCATATACAGTTGGTATTCCAGTTTCCTAATACTTCAGTTCCCTTTTATCAGTGAGAACTTTCCATCTATCCACTATGGTTCTCTGTAAACACGATTGGATGACCTTTCTATAACAGCAGATCAAAGAACCCATGCATAAAATCAAATCACGCTGCCTATGTGAACCCACAACAAGTGGACCAATTCATTTCTTTGAATCATACATACACTCTGAATTACATGCTCCCAAACAAATCCCACAGTTAATCAACAGACTGTGCTCTGGCAAATAAGTGCTGATAGAAAGCTGTCCAGGTACCACTTAGACATCTAATGTAAAAATTGTTTCCTTATTCCTATCTTTAAAAACACTGTATTTGGGTATAAATAATAATATTGTTGTGCATTTTAAATGAGCAGGTTTTGAACACATCTTACTCCCATATACAAATGTATCGTCAAAATAATTCATAAAGCAGATATGATTAACTAAGGGTTCACTCAATAAACAGAAGAATAATGCTTTAGCAGTTTAACAACTCTGTTCAAATTCAGAAGAAAGTAGGACTGTAAACACAGACTTGCATAAAAATACAAACTGAAAATAACAAATACTACTAACGTTGACTCAGGACTTGAACTACCTAAAGCCAGTGACAAATTTAGTCTTTCTGCCTGTGTGTAGTACTTGGAAACTAAACAATATATTCCTTTAGCCTAGCAAATGACTCACAAAACACAGTAGACAATGAGGTATGCTTTGGTCTTTACAGAGAACTTGCTGGCTACTACAAGGTAACTGTGAAATATTATTTTAATATTGTTTTGTGCAGATCCTCATCCCAAACCGTATAATTAAGGGGTAAATTATACATTTAATCTATCAAGTAAAACCTGAAACAAAAACAAAAACAAAAAAATGTTGTAATCCCACATGTTCACATTGATGTCTATGAAACCAATTCACACCACGCTCCTGGTAATTTTCAAACAAGCTACAAAAGATGAAATACATTTTTATTTTCCCTTCTAACTAATATTTTTAGGCAGTAGTCCACCCTTGTGCTTCATTAGCAGAAAAGCCGCAGTCTATAGAATAAGAATTGTGCAGTTATGTAAAAGCAGAAGGGTGTCAAAAACACTAAAACTTATGTCAGTTTTATAAAAATTCCTATAACCTACGAATGGCCCAAGTCATATTTTCCACTAATTTGTGCTCTGTATAAAGCCTTTATTTCAAACTTTAATCTGAAATGAACTTCTAGCACTGAGGTGCAAATTCTGTAGAAAGGGACCTTCAATTGGAGGCCAGAAAACCCTTCCTCAGGGGGGTTGTGACACATAATTAGCATTCCCTGGGAAAGATGAATAACCAAGCTCCGCTAACCTGTTCCAGGTTTAAAACAGGATTTCCTTGACTTAATCATCCAAGAATAAATTAACTTTTCTTCTCTTAAAACGGCATCCCTATAATAAACTCTGTCTTACAAACTATGTGTTTATGATGAGCATTTGAATCCAACCTAACAAATAATTGAATAATGAATGGGTTATGGTCTGGCCAGAGAGTCCTCCCACCATTGCCCCAACCTCTTGAGAGAATAAAGTCAGGGAGGGTAATGGTGGGGGTTGGTGGGGGGGGGGGCTGAGTAGAAACGAAGGTCCCTTTTAGCTCAATGATTTTCTTAATGAGAGTCCACCCCAAAAAAGTAAATATTAAAGTTATAATAAGTAACCAAAGTACACATTTTTAATACAGAAAAAATTAAATTAAAATTACTATTCCCTTAGTAAAGTTAAATGCAGGCAAGAATTTTTTTTTTTTTTTTTAATGTGAAAACTTCCATTAGGAGACTTAACTTTTACAATAGTCAGTGCTACCATATTTTACCCAGCTACACTTCCCGGCCCCAAAAGGAAAACTCCAGCAGACAAATACTTCATGAAGTTTACCTTCTGTACCAAGTTGCTTTTGACGGGCATTCGTATAAAAACCTGACAGTACACACACTTCACAATACAAACAGCTACAAGGCTTGAAAGCGCTCTGTATACAGTGAAAGGGAAACTTTCCAAGCAATATTCCTGCCTGCTCTTATAAATTTAGCAACCACTTCAGCAAGCCAAAAGACGAAAGCTGTCTAATCTTGTTCAGTTGAGCCGAGTTGTTCAATAAAGTTTGAGAGTCAGTGCAGACAGGCTACGCCAGGCCAAATTATTGACAGAAACACACTGTCCACCATGGCAACAGGCAGAAGTCTGCTGCAAAAATGTAAGCAAACAGCCCACTGCTCCAAGAGCATCTGCCAATGAACTTTAACAGCCAAACACAAGGCAACTGTTCCCGCTTCTCCATGTTTAACAGCTGCAAGCTCGGGGGTCAAACCGAAACAAGCAATTCACTAAAATCTTTCAGGAAAAAATGACTTTAAATACTGTCATCGCAATCCCACTTTGTAACTCCTTATTCTTGTATATCCATGCTCAAGTGGAAATTAACAAAGTCCTGCCCCCAGAGAGCTGCCCAAAGCATCATGTTTTAGAAACTGTCCCAGAATTTCCAAACTCATTCAAAAGCAACTGACATCAAGTTAGATACTCTTAGTGCTAGAAACTCAGAAAAAAGAAAGTGAGGTCCTTGCACACAGTGCTTAGGGATGTTTGACTTTTGCAATAAAGGTCTGAAGAAAGTAATTATGTTGCTGCAGGAAGCAGGACTCGAACACGCACCTGAGTGCGCTTGCATACAAGCACCTCTACGATTTCTCATGTGATCCAAGGAGACTGGTTCGGGCTTTTTTGTTTTGTTATGTTATTTTTCTGCCCATGACTTGAGAGAAAAGTTTCAGGTGATTCCTTCAAGATAAAAACAAAACTCTGCCAGGCATCACTAACTAAGGACACCTCCTGTCACCTAACAAAATTAGCTGATTAGGAGCTCACAGTACTCATGTCCACCCAGTTTCCCCTCAACATCGATTTTTCCTTAAAACCCGCTTTAACACCATTACTCCTGTCTTGCCCCAAGACCTAGAAGACACAGAGTGTAAGAGAACAGACAATACTTACAACACAGTCCCCGGGCTCTGGCTAGCTACTTTGTGCCAACTTCTCTTGGTGAGCTTTCTCTAGCTGTGCAGACCCTCTAGGAACATTCTGGGTGTCTCTCTGCCTTCCTCTCCCTCTCCCTCTCCCTCTCCCAGGCAGTGCTGCTCCCATTAGAGGAATTAAAAGCGGTTGGAGCCATGCTAAATTTAACAAGCTCATTAGTATTCTTTCTGAGTGCTTCCGAGTGAACTCTCCCTATTCAAGCCTCTCTCTCCAGCAGAAGGGTCAGGCGGCTAATCATTAAATCAAACTAATGTCACCCTATCACAATCAGCCTGAGAGAAGGAGGGTTTATTATTTCAGTTTATGCTAAATAAACGGTTTTACAAATGGTCCCCAAGCAAGGTCAACAGCAGCTTCAATTACAAGACAAACTTAACAAGAGTTGCTATAAACCAAGTACCCTGTATTGACTTAAGAACAGGCTCCGCTCCACATATTGCCACTAGCAGGATTGTACAGGAATGCATATTGTAAAATAAAGGAAGGGGTGAGCTTTTTTCTTTGCCAGAATTTGCGAGTGCACAGCGACTCCTCATTCACCTCTCTCCAACCAGCTAGCCGCTCAGCTCAATTCACCCCACACAAAGGCTGGAGCCCAGACCTCAATGGACCGAGTGAAACATGTTCAAAACTAGGCTCTCTATTGTGACTGAATTTCTTAACATCTTTTCAAAAAGCGGAGAATGCCTTGAGGCTAAAGGAAGAAACAGGCTAATGGTGAATTGGGAATTCTGGGCAAATTTCAGAGCCCTTTCCTCCTAGCTTTTGAGGTTGAAAGCAAGCTCTTTCCTTTCAAGTTTCAAAGTCCTTTTTCCTCCCGCAGTGTCACAGAAGGATTTGAAAAGAAGGTAATTGTGCTCGCAGTCTCCCTGATCAGAGCTTACGTCCTATTTCTGGTATTTCGGAATACTTCTTGCAATAATAGTGCATATAGCTCAATCCCTTAACCGGCCTGCACTCTGCAATTGCTCATTAAATGAACAATTGCGGGTATAAAATGCCTTTTATGTTCAAGGTCTGGATATAAGATAAGCATTCTAGGACTCTAAATTTGGTTTACTAAGGAAACTCTCCATCATTAAATTACAAAACTGAAGTCAGAATATCAGGCTTTCCCAGAAAAGTGGTACTCAGGTTGCAGCGAGCCAAAATGAAGGGCGGGCAGGGAGGGCGGGGAGGAGGCAACAAAATGTGAAGAAGGGGGAAAAATAAAGACCGGATACTCAGATTTCTAGCCGAATGGGATTCTAACAAGAAAATAATATTTCCATATTTAAGTCTGAGTTTGTGAAACCTCGTAACTTCTATATTGAATGATATAATAAAGTCATGTTCAAATGAATTAAAATACAAAACTGAGGATCCATAAATATGTTGTTGACTAATCTGGACCCCTCACAAGCAAACATCTTCTTCCTCCCCCGTCACCATTTACATCACCTCATGTGATCTTCACAGCAACCCACTCATGGCGGTAGGAGAAGGTATTAGGCCCAGTTTCCAGATCAGAAACGGGCCGTCATGTCCCAGGTAAGTGATGCAAAGAAAATTCCCAGTATGCTATACCAAATCCACATAGCCCTGTCCCTTGTTAACACAACAACAACTCTATTCCTGGTCAGGCTTTTGGAATGATACCTGGATACATGCCCCAACATCCACCACCACCACCAATAAAAAGAAAAACAACAGTAATGTCATTTTTATGCACAGAAAATTTCAAAACTGAGACACTCTCCCATTAAGTTTTTGACAACATAAATCCACTCCTGGGAAACACGGAGAGAAGCCCAAATGACAAATTTATGGAGACACGGAGGTGCATGGAGGACCCGCACATGGGCAATCCTCCCCGTCCACGTGCAAAGACACATGGAGGCTCCACTCAGCGCTGCACACCCTCTCCACCACGCTCCAAGGCTCAGCCAGGGGCTTTGTGTGTTCCAGGCGTTTTTAATGTGTCTCCAGAAGCTTGGAGCCCCGCCCTCCTGTCCCGAACAAGACACAGAGTGTCGTCTCTCCTTTCCTCCCAGGAAATTGCTTCGCTGTGTTTGCAAAGAGCATTATTTTATTTTTTTTCCTATTATTCATTTGTTCCATCTTATCAGCTTTTATTTCTTTGGTTATTTACATGTTGATGCTCTTTGAATAAAAACCAATGCAATCCAAGTCTTCGCCTCCCTGTTTCAGAATTCTCCCCAAGACTTTCACCAAAAAGAGATCAGAAATGAAAAAGAGAAGAGGCTGAGTATAATCAAAAGCATTGTAGAATTATGCTAGGAGGGTGGAATAAAGTTCCTGTAGTTTGTAAAAGCAGAATATCCCCTCTTTCCATGTAGACTGCAGTTCTTCCTAAGCCAAGGGCTGCTCCCTAGAATGTCTAGAGCTTGACTTCCAAAGGGCGTGAGCAAACAATGCCTACTCTAAGAACATTTCCAATACCCTCGGGGTCAGACTTTGCCCTTGTGCAGCTACACATACATCTCCCACTGACAATGACGGATGACAGACGGAGGGGCCCAGATGCATCAGGAGAGAGCACTCAGCTTTGTTTGCAACCTTTAAACTGTACTGCCAGGCTTGCAACATGAGAGGGCTGCAGGAGAATTTGAAGCCTTGGGGAAATTCAAGTGATAACTCTCTCTCAAAGATTATGGGGTTGCTCTCTCTCTTCCTACTTTCACCAACCAGGAGGCCCCAGGGTTAAAGGAGAGAACGTAGAAAATGCCCTCCATCAGGCCGTGCATGGATGCTCATGCCTGTAACCCCAACACTTTGGGAGGCTGAGGCTGGCAGATCACCTGAGGTCAGGAGTTTGAGACCAGCCTGACCAACATGGAGAAACCCCATCTCTACTAAAAATACAAATTATCCAGGCATGCTGGTGCATGTCTGTAATCCCAGCTACTCGGAAGTCTGAGGCAGGAGAATTGCTTGAACCCAGGAGGCGGAGGTTGCAGTGAGTCATCACGCCATTGCACTCCAGCCTGGGCAACAAACAAGAGCAAAACTCTATCTCAAAAAAAAGAAAAAGAAAAAGAAAATACCCTCCATCAGAGCCATAGAGTGGCTTAATTGTCTAATATTTCTACTGCTCTTTTTGCCAAAGAATAAAACATAGTCTAGACGGACCAACATCCCAGTGGCTTCCATTGGAAACTATTTGCTCCAAAGAGCAGCAAGTTAGAGTTCAAATCAAGGCAAAATTCTGACCTCACTCCCCAACTGCTCAGTTTACAGAGCTCCATTCAACTTCAAAAGAGGTTCCAGGGATGGAAGGGAGTAAGCAGAGAGAGCAAGATGAGAATTCAGATAAACGAAAATGCAAAACCTGAAATGACTGCTCCCCCCACTGCAGCAGAAAGCTTTGATGGCACGCAGAGCATGCTGCCTCCCATATTTTTTTTAAAAAATGACAATGATGAGCAGATAACACTATCAGCTTGTCTGAGGCTTTACCAAGCATGCCCTGTGGCCCACAGGGTTTCCATACATTTTCCTTGTGTCCCTGAACCCTCACAAATAAGAGGCCTGCAGCCCCACCTCTGACCCTGAGAGGGTGCTTCCGAACATTGATGACAAGGTCAGCAAAGGTCATTGTGACCTGGTTGAACACTGCCCTGAACGGGCCCTTAAGTCCAAGCACAAATCCAGGGGTACTAACCATCTTTCAAAGCTCTCTAACAGAAAGCACTTGCCAAATGCAGCATGTACTTGGGAACAAGAAAATACAAACAAAACAGTACCACTGAGGGCCCCAGTGGGCTCGACTTTAAAAGGGAGAAGGAGATCTACCTTATTTTCCAAGAGCTTGCCAAGACTCTTTCTTGAATCAAAAATTCTAAAACAACGTCATGGAGCTTCTTCTGTTAGTCTGCCATTAGTTGCTAGTCGCTGCTTATACTGAGTGAGTTAATTAGTGGCATCAAAGGCAGTACAATCAGTTCCCAGGAGGGTCAAAAATTTTGCCTTCTTCTTAGTGGCACATTTATGCTTATATCTCTGTGAGTCACAGTCTCATGAACATTTAGGTATTCCAGACTTCTTTGAGAATTCCATTTTAGTCTTTAACAAGCAAAGAATGAAGAGTCTCTCTTTCTTATTTTGCACATACAGACCTGAGCAGTTAAGATTCCATAATGAGGCTGGGCACAGTGGCTCACACCTGTAATCCCAGCACTTCGGGAGGCCAAGGCGGGTGGATCACAAGGTCAGAAGCTCGAGGCTAGTCTGGCCAATACAGTGAAACCCTGTCTCTACTAAAAATACAAAAAAAATTAGCCAGGTGTGGTGGTGTGCACCTGTAATCCCAACCACTCAGGAGGCTGAGGCAGGAGAATCACATGAACCTAGGAGATGGAGGTTGCAATGACCAAGATCGTGCCATTGCACGCCAGCCCTGGCAACAGTGTAAGACTCCATCTCAAAACAAAAAGATTCCATAATGAGATCCACGGCCAACAGTTCAGCAGAAACAATGACAGGCCTGTTCAGAAGGCCAGAGTGTCCAGGTTGCTGCTGCCTGGCTGCGTCCTCCGATGGGAATGATCCTATCACTCTGGAGATCTAGCCCAGGCCCTGTGTGGCCAGAGGACTTACAGCCTGGTTTTCCTTTAAAGGCACAAAGAAATAAACCTCTGCCTGCAGCAGCTTCTTCCACTGGCAGTGCTTTCAGATGCTGGTTCCCAGGTCCATACCCACCTCCCATCACCAGCAAAGTCCCATTTCCTAACCTTGCTAACATTTTTCCAAATTGCAGAAGTGAATACAAACTTAATGGCTTACATCTGGTCTGTTTATGTTGCATGTTTTTGTTTTTCGAAGATCACAGAATGAGAAAGCCTGAGCATATGGTGGTATTATATTTTTAATAAAATTTTACAGACCATGCTTACGCAATTGCAGGAATCAGGAGCTCCTGGAGAGTGCATTTAAATATCAAAATAATACCATTATTGTACCAAAAGGAGCTAGAAGCCACATAACCCCCATGAGGGACAGAGAGCAGGGCTCACCTACACTCATTCAGCCTCTGGGCAAAGGCCAGGTGCTGCCTGGGTCAGGTTTATGCAACAGAAACCCCCTCTAGCTATGGCCCACTGACCTCAACTATGAAATGTGCATTTGAGAAACTCAAATGAAAATATCACCTTTTGATTCTTCACAATTTTATCTAAGCAGCCTCCTTCTAGTGAGCTAGCCACAAAAAGCCTGTGACTGTACAAAACCTCAGATAATGGCTCATGTACTGCCTATAAGGGAAGAGGGAAAGGCCACAAATCATCACCTCTCACAAAGCATACCTTCATGGCCACAGACATGACCACAGCTGCTCTCCTTCCTCAGGCCACAGCCCCAGGAGTTCACTCACTTAGCCATTAAGCCACCATGTCTCTAAATTGTTTAAGGATTCAAGTTTTTGGAGGACAGGAAGGTGGGAGGAAGGGAAATATACAATTATTTCTATACAAAATTTCTAAACAAAAAGAAAAATTTCAGGGAAATGCACTCATTAGCATAAAAATATTTGTATGGATTTTTAACTTATATTTCCCAATCATTTTAGAGTATAAAAAAAGCGGATTTGTTTGGCTTTTAATTTTTAATTCTGTGTATGACCTTTACTATAATTATCTAAAGTTCAAATTAAGTACACACAAATTGAAAAATTATCCCACAAGTTTATCTGTTGAAGCCTTGCTTTAAACTATTTATTCCACCTCTTGAAACTATAAAATATGGCTAAGATACCGTAGGCTAGGTGTTCATATATTAATAACACCTCCCACTGGTATAGGACTTTAGGAGATTTTGATAAATTAGCCTATATAAAACTATGTGATCATTTTCATTATCTCCTAGGCATACGCAAACACCTCCCCAAAAATGCCCTATGGTCCCTTCCTGAAAACCTGTTAACTCAGCTTTTACCAGCCCACTGCGGAAAGGCATAAATGGGAAATGAGTTAACAAAATCCTAGACTATACTCTCTGCGCTTCACGTTTATTGAGCACTTAACTAAATGCCAGGCCGGTGCTCTGTGCTCCGTATGCGTTAATCCCACTGAATCTTCACAGGTCTGTCTAGTATGTGGTATCATTACCCAGTTATTCAGGTAAAAGTCCTGAGGTTTAACAAAGGTTAAGCGAGCAGCTTGAAGTCATCCTTCAGGTAAGTAAGCAGCTTGACATGGATTTCTTGTGTATTATAAATTAGTATTAATCCCTAAAATGTGTCTTCTGTAAGGAGTCTCAAAAGCCTCTAGAGCACTCATTTGCTTGTCATTGTTCTATCTGTGTATGTGAACACTATTTTCTTTCTTTTTCTTTCTTTGAGACAGAGTTTTGCTCTTGTTGCCCAGACTAGAGTGCAATGACGTGATCTTGGCTCACTGCAACCTCCGCCTCCCAAGTTCAAGCTATTCTCCTGCCTTAGCCTCCCAAGTTGCACAAGAGAGAGAGACAGGCACCACGCCCAGCTAATTTTTGTATTTTTAGTAGAGATGGGGTTTCACTATGTTGGCCAGGCTGGTCTTGAACTCCTGACCTGAGGTGATCCACCCGCCTCGGCCTACCAAAGTGCTGAGATTACAGGCGTGAGCCACTGTTCCCAGCTGAAGACTACTTTCATTGTAACAATTATTCTACCTCTTCTTCTAAAGGCCATAAGGAAGAATACTGTAGACTTTAATCAAATGAACTTAATTGCAAACTTTAATCCAGAGCCATGAATGAAATACAGTTCATAGACTTCTTTGAATTTCTTATTCTACTTCTGTTGTTGCTGTTATCGTCATGCTCAGGTCTTGGGCACAGTTAGTATCTTGCAGTGTAAATGACACCGCTCATGCTACAGCTAAATTATCTTCTTTTCACCTTGTTTCTCCCCATACCTCTCCCTTTCTATAGGATTTCCAGGTTCTGAATAGCTATTTTGCAAAAAAATAAATAAATTTAACACTGTCTCCAGTGGGATTGTGACGCAGGCTCAGATGTAAGAAGCAGCCTGAATATTTGGCTTGTGCTTAACAATAGCTCCAACAGTTAGAGCCGCACATAGTTTATTGAAAGGGGCATATGTCCAAAAGTTAAAGAAGCATATGGTTTACAGAGAAAGGGGGAAAAAAAAAAACTTGCACTTGGAAGCAGCTTTGCTTGGATTATTTACCAACAAATGAAAGGCCCTTCAGGCTGCCCAAGAGTATAATCCCCTCCCACTGGCTGGAAAGGAATGCTGAATGAGTCAATAAAGTCAGAATCATACAACACAGAGACATTCTCCCTCCCCAACTAAAGATGATTATCGAATTATAGCAAATTTAAGAAAGTTTTTCCTTTTTCTAAACAAGAACAAAACCAGACTACTTCTTAAAATGCACTATTAGGAATTGTAACTGTTCCTAAATGTGCCAGATATATTTCCATCCATGCAATATTAAAACTAACAAGCATCTTTTCAATTTCTTTTAATGATGGGGTAGGCAATAAAAATACAGCAGTGCTTCATTTAGCCAAAAGAGCTGAAGCAAAAAAGACCTAAATAAATAAATAATAAACGTGCATGGGCCACTTACCAAAAATAAAATCATTTCATTCAACCTTTTACAGGAGGTGCATGCAGCATTTTTAAAGCAAAAATTCTCATAACGCAAACCTCCACTTAAAAATCACTGCCAAGGGCTGGAACCATGGCAGGATGTTATTTCTTTTTCAATTTATTTTTTAATGTTTGGGTATTAATGGCATCAACTGCCATGTAGTATAATAAGGCAGCACAGTGTAATAAAA